GCAGCCTCTCTTTGCCCCTGCTGCATCTTCTTAGCCCCCCTGTGCTGTGCTTGCTGCTCAAACCCCACTCTGCTGCTCCTTTCACTTCCAATTAAGGCCATGTTAGTACCTGGCTTCACCCATACTTGGCATCACCTGCCTTTTTTTTATGTGCTGGAAAAACAGCCTGATGCCTCACTGTGGCCTGCAGCACACACAATGCTGCATACTCTACTTCCATTAAGGTCGAGCCTTTCGCCCACACTAGGCTTCGTATGCCCTTTCTTTAGGCGCATCAGAAATAGCCTTTTGCCGCCCCGCACCTGCAGCCCACACGCTGGTGCCCCCACTCTGCTGCAACCCTCACTTCCACTTGAAGTCGTGCCAGTCGCCCCACACTCGGCTTCATCTGTCCTTTTCTTTAGGCGCCTTGAAACTACCCTACTGCCCAACCCCGCCCCCTGCCCGCATTCTACTGCATCCCTCACTTCCATACAAGGTCATGCCAGTCGCCCACACTCGGCTTTGTATGCCTTGCCTCCCCCTGCCCACTTTCCACCTTGATTTGAAACCCCATCTGCCCCAGCACCACATCCAACACAGTGTCCCATGCGCATGCCCATGCCTGCTGCCCACCCTCTGCTGCATCCCTCACTTCCATACAAGGTCATGCCAGTCGCCCACACTAGGCTTCGTCTGCCTTGCCTCCCCCTGCCCGCTTTCCACCTTGATTTGAAACCCCATCTGCCCCAGCACCACATCCAACACAGTGTCCCATGCGCATGCCCATGCCTGCTGCCCACCCTCTGCTGCATCCCTCACTTCCATACAAGGTCATGCCAGTCGCCCACACTCGGCTTCGTCTGCCTTGCCTCCCCCTGCCCGCTTCCGACCTTGATTTGAAACCCCATCTGCCCCAATACTACATCCAACACCGTATCCCCATGCACATGCACATGCGCATGTCCATGCCCGTGCCCGTGCCCATTCCCATGCCCATGCGTCTGTCCATGAGCATGGGCGTGGGCATGGGCATGGGCATGCCCGTGTGCATGCCCAAGCACATGCCCTGGCCCTGCTGCTGCAGCTGCAGCTGCTGCTGCTACCAGTGCTGCTCCTGCTGCTCCGCCTGCTCCTGCTCTTGCTGCCGCTGCTGCAGCAGCGGCAGCGGCAGCAGCAGCGGCAGCAGCAGCGGCAGGACCGTCACCAGCGCCACCTGCAGCAAAAGCAGCTGCTGGATTTGCAGCAGCAAAAGCAGCTGCTGGATTTGCAGCAGCAAAAGCAGCTGCTGGATTTGCAGCAGCACCAGCAGCGCCAGCAGCACCACCTGCACCAGCAAAACCGCCAGCAGCCGCAGCTGCTCCTGCCACTACACCGCCCCCTCCTGCCTGGAACACATTAATCTGCCCATCCCTTATCCCTGCAACTCCAACCACCTGCCTCTGCCACTGCTCCACAACACCCCCCCCTCCTGCCGCTCCTTCTGGAGCCAGCACCAGCACCAGCACCAGCAGCAGCAGCACCAGCAGCAGCGGCGGCAGTGCCAGCAGTACCAGCAGCACCAGCAATGGTGGCACCCGCAAAATCAGGCCCAGCACGCAGCACACCCGCACCTAACGCAGAGGCTCGGCCGTGGGTCATGGCTTGGTACGCCAGAACCATGCGCCTCGTCTCCTCCACTACCTCTGCATGGCCTTGTGGGCCCCATTGCTCTTGCATGAGACCCACAGGCAGGAATCTATCAACAACAGCACCGGCGAGACCGGCAGCAGCAACAGCAGCACCACCAGCAGCGGCAGCAGCAGCACACACCCGCAGCAGCGGCAGCAGCATTAGCTGCAGCTGGTTGAGTTTGTTCAAATCCGATTTCTCTCTCTGCCACTCCCTGCCCCAGGTCCATAGGCCCAGCACCTACCTCCACTGCCTCCCCTGCTGCCCCCACTGCCCCTGCTGCCCCTGCTGTCCCTGCTTCTTGTTGCATGCTGGCATCTGCAGGCACTGCTGCTGCTGCTGCTGCTGCTGCTGTGCCGTCTGCCGCTGTTGGTGCTGCTGCCCCTGCTGCCTCCACAGCCGCCGGGCCTGCAACTCGTACCGCTAAAGCACCTGCTTCTTGTGCTTCTGCTGCTGCTACTCCTTCTGCTGCCCCTGCCCCTGCTGTTGCCCCTGCCTCCACAGCCACCGGGCCTGCAACTCGTACCACTGGAGCACCTGCTTCTTGTGCTGCTGCTGCTGCTGCTGCTGCTACTCCTTCTGCTGCCACTGCTGCTGCTGCTTCTCCTGCCACTGCTGCTGCTGCTTCTTGCTGCTGCTGCTGCTGCTGCTGTTGCTGCAGCTGCTTCTTGCACAGCCGCTGCTCCCACAACAGCTGCTGGTGCTGCTCCCACTGTTGCTACTTGTACAACCGCAGCAGCATCTGGTGCTGCCGGTGCTACTGCTGCCCCTGCAACAGCACCTGGTGCTGCCAGTGCTTCTCCCACTGCTGCTACTTGTGCAACTGCAGGAGTTGCAGGAGCTGCACTTGCAGCAGCACCCGCAGCAGCACCCGCAGCAGCACTTGCAGCAGCACCTGGTGCTGCCGGTGCTGCCGCTGCCCCCGCTCCTGCCCGTGCTGCTTCCCCTGCTGCCGTCCCTGCTGCTCCTGCCGCCCCTTCTTGGGCGGCAGCACCATCCGCTTGGGCGGCGGCGCCATCCGGTTGGGGGGCAGGGTCGATGTAGCGAGCGCGGGAGGTGACAGTGACGATACAGTCGACTGCCAGGTTGGTGTGCGCGAGGGTGCCTGGCAAGGCAAAGTGCCGTTGAAATGTGGCGTATACAGTGCTGCAGAGAGGGAGGGGGGTGGGGAAGGGGGTGGGGGGGGGGTAAGCATGGGTCGATAGGGCGGGAGGTGACTGTGACGATACAGTCGACTGCCAGGTTGGTGTGCGCGAGGGTGCCTGGCAAGGCAAAGTGCCGTTGAAATGTGGCGTATACAGTGCTGCAGAGAGGGAGGGGGGTGGGGGGGGGGAGCATGGGTCGATAGGGCGGGAGGTGACGGTGACGATGCAGTCGACTGCCAGGTTGGTGTGCGCGAGGGTGCCTGGCAAGGCAAAGTGCCGTTGAAATGTGGCGTATACAGTGCTGCAGAGAGGGAGGGGGGTTGGGGGGGGGGAGCATGGGTCGATAGGGCGGGAGGTGACGGTGACGATGCAGTCGACTGCCAGGTTGGTGTGCGCGAGGGTGCCTGGCAAGGCAAAGTGCCGTTGAAATGTGGCGTATACAGTGCTGCAGAGAGGGAGGGGGGTTGGGGGGGGGAGCATGGGTCGATAGGGGCGGGAGGTGACGGTGACGATGCAGTCGACTGCCAGGTTGGTGTGCGCGAGGGTGCCTGGCAAGGCAAAGTGCCGTTGAAATGTGGCGTATACAGTGCTGCAGAGAGGGAGGGGGGTGGGGAAGGGGGTGGGGGGGGGTAAGCATGGGTCGATAGGGCGGGAGGTGACGGTGACGATGCAGTCGACTGCCAGGTTGGTGTGCGCGAGGGTGCCTGGCAAGGCAAAGTGCCGTTGAAATGTGGCGTATACAGTGCTGCAGAGAGGGAGGGGGGTGGGGAAGGGGGTGGGGGGGGGGGGGTAAGCATGGGTCTATAGGGCGGGAGGTGACGGTGACGATGCAGTCGACTGCCACGTTGGTGTGAGTGAGCTTGCCTGGGAGGGCCAAGTGGCGCTGGAAGGTGGCATACACCGTCCTGAGAGGGACATGAGAAATGGGAGATAGAGAGTCACAGGGAGATAGAGAGTCACAGGGAGATAGACGGTCAGCGGGGCAGGGAGGTGACGGCGACGATGCAGTCGACTGCCACGTTGGTGTGCACAAGCACTCCTGGGAGGGCGAAGTGGCGTTGAAAGGTGGCGTATCCAGTGCTGGAGAGAGGGGAAGAGAGGGGACGAGGGGAGAATGGAAGGGGGATTAGCGGAAGAGAGTGGCCGGTTGGTGCGTGAGCGAGCGAGGGCGCCCGGCAGGGCCAAGTGGCGCTGGAAGGTGGCACACAGGGTGCTGTGGAGAGGAAGTGGGGTGAGAGGGGGAATGGACGGGCGGGATTAGAGGAGAGAGTGTGGCTGGTTGGTTGGTGTGCGCGCGGCAAGGGCGCCTGACAGGGCGAAGTGACGCGTGTGGTTGGTTGGTGTGCGCGCGGCAAGGGCGCCTGACAGGGCGAAGTGACGCGTGTGGTTGGTTGGTGTGCGCGCGGCAAGGGCGCCTGACAGGGCGAAGTGACGCGTGTGGTTGGTTGTGTGCGCGCGGCAAGGGCGCCTGACAGGGCGAAGTGACGCTGAAAGGTGGCACCCTGAAAGGTGGCATACACAGTGCTGTGGAGGACAAAATTGGAGAGGGGAATGAGAAGGGGGGATCAGTGGGGAGCATTTGGAAGGGGGAACTGGAATGGGCTAATTGAGGGATTAGGGGACACGAGAGGTGGAGCTCGAGCTTAGGGAATTGGGAGGGTGGGGCATTGGAAGGGGAAATGGAGGGGGGGATGAGAGGGGAAAGACAAGGGGAGATGAGACTTGGAGATGAGAAGAGATGAGGAGCAGAGATGAGAAGAGATGAGGAGCGGAGATGAGAAGAGATGAGGAGCAGAGATGAGAAGAGATGAGGAGCAGAGATGAGAAGAGATGAGGAGCAGAGATGAGAAGAGATGAGGAGCGGAGATGAGAGGCAGAGATGACAAACAGAGCACAACCAGAGTGCAAGGCACGGAGTTTGATTCAATCAGAGCAAGGGAGGGACGGACGCAAGCAGTACCCGCCAATGGTGTTGTGCTGAGCTGTGGTTGCATTGAGACTCGACAGCAAGGCACAGCAAGACACAGCAAGACACAGCAAGGCACAGCAAGGCACGGATACAATTAAAACAAGAAGTGGAAGGAACCGAGGCAGTAACCTACCCGCCAATGGTGCTGTGCTGTGCAATGGTTGCGTTGAGCAGCACAGCAAGGCGCAGGGCGCGACTCTCAAAGAAGGCAGGGCAGAAAGGAAGCAAGCAGCACCCTACCCGCCAATGATGCTGTTCTGTGAGGTGGCAGCGCTGAGCAGCACAGCAAAGCGGTCCCCACCACCCGCCAACGGACCCTTGAGCGCCAAACACGACACCTGCAGCTCCCTTGCTGCGCGCTCCAACGCCCTCCTGCTCAGCCCAGGCTTGCCCTCCACCAGCACTGACCCCACCTGCACTTGGGCGGATGGTTTGGGTGCGGAATGTGGGGAAACGCAAGAAGAATAGTTTCAAGACCACTCACACGCCTGCTCAGCCCAGGCTTGCCTTCCACCAGCACTGACCCCACCTGCACTTGGGCGGATGGTTTGGGTGCGGAATGTGGAGAAACGCAAGAAGAATAGTTTCAAGACCACTCACACGCCTGCTCAGCCCAGGCTTGCCCTCCACCAGCACTGACCCCACCTGCACTTGGGCGGATGGTTTGGGTGCGGAATGTGGAGAAACGCAAGAAGAATAGTTTCAAGACCACTCACACGCCTGCTCAGCCCAGGCTTGCCCTCCACCAGCACTGACCCCACCTGCACCTGGGGGGAATGTTTGGGAAAGGGAGGAGAGAGAGCAGGAAAGGGACTCGTACGCCGACTCGCAAGGCAGCTGAGGCCAGGCCTGTGGCTATCTGAATATTCGAATGGTTTCTTTGGAGGAGGGCGAGAGAAGAGGAGAGAGGAAACGAGCGCCACACACGACACCTGCAGCTCCCTGGCTCTGCGCTCCAGCGCTCTCCTGCTCAGCCCAGGCTTGCCTTCCACCAGCACTGTGCCCACCTGCGAATAAAAAGTCGTTTGCATGTGGGGAAACGAGTACAGGAAAGGCGCTTTAAAGGCATGGTCTCAAGTAGTTCGATTGTTTTGCAGTTGATGAATGGACCCTGGCTAGGATTGGTTGACGAGGTGTAAAAATTGACGAGGGGTGTAGCGAGGGGCGCGAAGGAAACACAAATTGCAGGTTGGATCCGAAACATACAGGTACGGAAATCGGTTCGGCGCCAAAGCTAGAATACCAGCGATTTGTTCGAGCATCTGTCAGTCTCATGTACCCAGCGGCAAGGTGCAAAATGACGGCCGAAATTTTGGAAATTTGGTGTAAAAATACACTATCGTAGTTTATGGTTGTTTAAAACGGTTTTAAAACGCTGCCTTGTTGTCAAAATGAATTGGTACAAAATAACGGCCGTTTTTTACAGTCGAAATTTTGAAACGAAATTGTGTACACCAATTTTCTTGAAAAATATTCCACTGTCAGTCCAGTATCGAGCACGCGGAAACCGACATGCGCCTTGTTTGCTAAGCATCTGTGGGGTGGGAGGGAGTGTAGTTCTGGTGAAAGTGGGGAAGAGGAGGATAGTGAGGGGGAGGATGAAGAGTGTGAGGGGGAGGGAGGCGGCGGCGGCGGCGGAGGAGTAGGGCTGAATGAGCGCACACTACACAGTTTGTTAGCACTTTAACACTTGTTTGCTAGGCACGCCAGTATTAGAATGATGTTTAACAGTTTTAGATTATTTTTTTTCCTGCCACAAAATCTCTAACAAAAAACGGCCGAAACTTTGAAATCTGCCCGTAAAATTCAGTCGTAAAAAACGAACCGTACTTTTCAAGAACCGTCATTTTGAACCTTGCCCCGTGGCATGTTTTGCAATTGCTTCAGGGGCAAAAACGGGAAAGTGTCGCATGCCAACCTGCCAAACCAACCCCTGTACTTCGCCTACTCAAACAGGGTGACCGAACTTCAACTGTTTTGCAGTTGATGACAATTTCTCTTACGTGAGACCCTGGCTTTAAGTCCAGTCCACTAACAAGCCTGCTCGGGCCTGACCCGCTGATGCGATCCACGGGCAGCCTGAAGACGAGTGATTCGGGCTGCTGCAGATGCTCCAGGCGGCTGCTCCGCCCGCTGATGCGATCCAAGGGAAAGGAACAAATGGCCAGTCCATAACAACCTGCCTACTTGTTTACAACTGAAATCAGCTTAGCCTACTCACATTGATGTCTGGCAGCCTGCAGTCGAATGATGAGTCGGGCTGCTGCAGGTGCTCCAGGTCGCCAGCCCCGCTGATACAACCCAAGCTGATTGATCGAATGAGTCAGAACAGCCTATCCACATCTCCCAAACAAACAGCTCTGGCTACAACCTACTCACATTGATGTCTGGCAGCCTGCACACGAATGATGAGTCGGGCTGCTGCAGGTGCTCCAGGTCGCTGGATCCGCTGATGCGGCGCGAGAAGATGGGCGAACCGCGGTACGACACGTCAACAAGGAAAATGACGTCAGACACAAACTCGTCCACGTGGCCTGCTGGGATGCTTTGCTGGACCTCCCCACAGGGCGTGTGGAGCAGACGGCAGAACCTGGGAGGTTTGGTGGGTGGAGTTCGGTGCAGAAGGGATATGCGAAGGTATCGTAACAGGAAGCCCTAAGAGGCACGACGATACTCCATGAGAACATACTTGGAAAAATGTTGGATTAAAAAATGCGAATGCAATGACGGTGGAGGTGGAAAATGCAATGAAGGTGGCTTATACAGTATCACACAAGGTACTGATGATGCCTCTCACTCGTATTCTCAAATCTTTAAACCCTTGCTCGTACCCTCACCTTGAATAGCTGCCACTCGTACTCCTCCCTCTTGTAACCGCCACCGTTCACTCGTATTCTGGCCTCCAGGTCCGGCGCGAGCGAGCTGGTGGTGACAGAGGGGCTGGTGACTGGACTCCAACTCCTCGTGTCCCACCCTTCAATCCGACCAGCGGTTATCACCCCTTACAATCTCACCTCTTGTAACCCCTGAGGCGTCCTTTATAACCCTATAACCCTATGCTCACCTCTTGTAACCCTATGCTCACCTCTTGTAACCACCCCTTAAAAACTCACCTCTTGTAACCACCGTTCGCTCGTATTCTGGCCTCCAGGTCCGGCGCGTTGAGGCTGGGCCAATGCACGATGCACGCCAGATGCCACAGCATCTCGTCTTCACACACCTGGTGGGCAGAGAGAGAGAGAGAGAGAGAGAGCGAGAGAGAGAGAGAGAGAGAGAGAGAGAGAGAGAGAGAGAGAGAGAGAGAGAGAGAGAGAGAGAGAGAGAGAGAGAGAGAGAGAGAGAGAGAGAGAGCGAGAGAGAGAGAGAGAGAGAGAGAGAGAGAGAGAGAGCGAGAGAGAGAGAGAGAGAGAGAGAGAGAGAGAGAGAGAGAGAGAGAGAGAGAGAGAGAGAGAAAGGGATATGGAATTCATGCCCATCAGCTCATCTGCCTCAGTCCCTCCGGCGCATTAAGGCAAAGAAGGGACTATCAGACCCATCAGGCCAATGCATGATGCACGCCAGATGCCACAGCATCTCGTCCTCACACACCTGGTGGGCACACAGCCAGCGACAAGGGACAGACGAAGTAAGAGAGATGTGTGGGTGTGTGCGTGCGTGTGCCTGTGCATGCATGCATGGGTGTGTGCATGTACGCATGTGTGCATGTGTGCATGTATGCATGTGTGCATGTGTGCATGCATGTGTGTGCGTGTGCGTGCGTGCATGCGCGGGTGCATGCGTGCGTGCATACGTGCGTGCATGCTTGCGTGTGTGCGTGTGTGCGTGCGTGCGTGCGTGCGTGCGTGTGTGCGTGCATGTGTGCATGCGTGCATGCGTGCGTGCGTGCGTGCGTGCGTGCATGCGTGCGTGCGTGCGTGCGTGCGTGTGTGTATGCGCACATGCGACGGTCATCAAGCCTAGCTGCACGCACATTGCATGGAAGCAGCAACTTGAGAAAAAAAAAAAATGGAAAGCAAAAAATGGCGACTTGCACGAAACTGCCTCGCATGGCACATGGCGCAGACAAGACAGGCCAGGCCAGGGTAACCGTAACCGTCTCGTTGGAGTTGCTTCTGAGAATTCTCAAAAGCAGCTCCAACACGCTACACCAAGGTAACCGTAACCTTCCCCCTCCCCCACGTTCCCCTTCCTCCTCCCTTTCCCCTCCCTCGCTCTCCCACCTCGTCCTCTTCCCCCACCATCCCTTCATTCTCTTCTCCTCCCCATCCTCCTCCCTGAAGATAACCTGATGGGAGTGACTTACATGGCGGAAGGAGCGGCAGAGGCATGCGAGAGTGGCGAGCCCGCGGGGGGAGAGGCGGCCGCTCTGCAGCAGCAGGTAGACCACCGTGTGCTCCGTGCCGCACGCCACCTCCTCCTCCTCCCACCGCACGCGCTTCACCTCACCCCACCCTCCCCTTCAACCTTTTCCCCCCTCCCGTTTCCTCACCTCCCCTTTCCCCTTTTCCCCCCTCACCTCCTCGCCTCCCTTGCCTATTCCGCCAACTCCCTTCAACCCCCAGAACAGAGAAGAAACGGGAACCCTAAGGGGCGCCTTACATGGCGGAAGGAGCGGCAGAGGCAAGCGAGCGTGGCAAGGCCGCGGGGGGAGAGGCGGCCGCTCTGCAGAAGCAGGTAGACCACCGTGTGCTCCGTGCCGCACGCCACCTCCTCCTCCTCCCACCGCACGCGCTTCGCCGAGCCCCCGCTCCCCTGCGCCTCCCCTCGCGCCGCCGCTGCTGACGCCGTCCAGAGGCCCGGGCGACCTGACAACACCGAGGGGGAGGCAACGTGGAAGGCCTTTTGAGACGACTCAGAAGCCTGGATGGATGGATGGCACCCCTCCTGGGAACGCCCCTCTCGCCGCCGCTCTTGACCAGAGGCCCCGACGACCTGATGGAACCGACGGGAGGTTAAGGGAAGATTCGGGGAAATGGAAGCGAGAGCGGGATGTATGAGGTAACCCAACCAACCTATGCGTAAAATATTTGGGAATATGGCTGGTAATATATTGTCGTTCCACCTACGCGTTCCCTTCTCGTCGTAGCTACCGACGCTGCCCAGAGGCCCGGACCACCTGACGGAGTCGTGGGAAACACGAGAAAGCAATTGGAAACGCGTATACGAAAACGCGGAACGAAGCCGAAACGACGTCGGAAACGGCCAGTATTTCTCCTTCGCAACGCTACTCTCTGGACAATATACACGACCGAAGTATGCTATCGCGAAGCCTTAGGGTTCCTTCTCCCCGCGAAGTTACTCCTTCGAACGAATCCCGCATTTCATTATTTCAGGCGAGAAGTAGTGACGCACCATTGCGACCAGAAGAAACGTCCACGAATCCGACGAAGACACGTCAGCAAGCTATCCGTTGGGAACGCACATAGCTCGAACGATAACTCGACATAGGGTGACTCTGCGGGCTCCGTAGTCCGAACTTGGAACGACCATAACCGCCAGTATCATCGTAGGTCAAAGCCAGAACTACCCTGCAGAAGCTGGCACAAGCACGAGTTTACCCTAGCAATAAAGCACTAACCTGCACTAGCAGTCACATCACCCGACCTTCCAGTCACCTTCGCAATCCCTTATCTGCAGAATCCGTCCTAACCCTAACCTGCAGTAGCGCTGGTGACGTGGCCGATTAGTCGCCGCACCAGCTGCCACATGGCGGCTGCGCAGAGGAGGACGGGGTGAAAGAGCGACAGGAAAATGGTGATCGGGGTCGCCAGCCAGATCCAACGGCTAGGAGCGAACGGAGCGGGAGGAGCGGCGTTCGGAGAAGGAACGGCTGTGAGAGTCGACGGCACAGCTGCGGGAGCAGATGGACTTGCGCGACGCGTGATGCTCGCTTCTACGGTCGTGGCGCGAGGACCAGTGTCAGAACCCAGCTCTGGCGCTTCGGCTACTGGTCTGGGAAACGACGGCGCTGCGATATCGGCGACGACTCCGTCAACAGCTGAGATACGAGGGATGATTTGCGACGCAGTCGCTGCCTCTTCGGCGACGACTCCGGGCGACGACGGAGCTGCGAGTTGCGTTCCGTCACCGTCAGCCGACGCGGTTCGCGGAAATATCTCGGGTACAGGCGACGCGGTGCGAGGAGGGATATCGGAAAGTGGCCCTGGCTCTTCGCCGCACGATACGGCTGGAGCTGACGTGGAAGCGGACGGCGCCGTGGGATAAGTATCAATAGTAGCAGTGGCGACAGCAGAGGTCACGTCAGTAATAGTGGTATCATCGACAAAAGGGGTTGGGACAGCAAGCGAAACAGCGGAAGCAGCAGCAGCAGAAGCAGCAGCAGCAGCAGAAGCAGCAGCAGCGGCAGCAGATGAGGACGGAGTAGCAGGAGGGGGAGCGGGAGTGAGACTGCAGGAGGCTGCGTGGAGAGGCGTTGCGTCGGTTAGATGCATCCGAGCATGGAGAGACAGCGCGATCCACGGACCGCACCTACGGAGTTAACCTAAAAGTTTTCTCAAGCTCTTTTCACAGAGCGAGACTTGAAGAGAGGGAAATTCGAAGCTTGCGTCTCGTCATAGTATGCTGAGAAAAAGGATGGTCAACTCGTAGCGGCACAAACGCCAGCTAAAATTATCCTACTCGTAAGGGTCATTGGGTAGCCATGAACTGAACCGACGCGGAGCAAACCCGAGCCTAGTGAGCCAACGGCGTGATACGATGGGAACACCTCCAGTCCAGGTCGTGCAGCGAACAGCAGAGACACAGAAAAAGTTACTGGACAGGCGTGAATGGAACACCATACCATACCATGAATGTAGCTCCGCTTGTGGCAGAGACACCAGCACCAAGGTTGATGGGAACAGAGATTCTAGAAAAGGACGGGGTGGAAAGGGTGGAAGCAAGCTTGAGGGCGTACACTTTCAAACGAATCTACAAACGATTCAGTGAACTTTCGTTACCCCTTTCTTGATTTGAAACGAGAGAATCGCGCCATACGTTACAGACGAGAAGGCGAATACTGAATTACGTTCGGCAGTGGTCACTTTCTCGACGGGTTACCAGAGAAACTCGGGTTGTGCAACGTTACTTGCGGTGCGCGGTGCGCTGTAAATGCTACGGGCTAGCCCGGCACAGACGGAAGGTGAAAGAATGAGCTGTGAAACTGGGCCGTTAGCGGTGATCCGTGAAGTGACAGATGACGGAGTTTGACGGATTTCATCCGAGAAAGGAGATGCGGGTGGCAACTACAGTTGGTTTGGTTTGGGGAGTTTGTTGGGTGGCTTGGTCCAGTCGAACCAGTTGTTTCTGACCATGTCAACGCCATGGCTCGGAAGTTTGGTTGGTTAGGACACACCATGAAGCCTCAAGGCAAGGGTCATTGCGCCTAGGCAATTGGCTGGAAGACGGGCCTCGATCTGACAACGAATTCCAAAACCTGCTTCCGTTTGCCGCGTACGGTGAGAATATGCAGTTATTTCTATGGGCAGGATTTGAAACGGCGCTAGACACATCGACTTGGAGACTATTGCTGCATGGCAGCAACTTCGTTTCTAAGCGTCTCTAGTTCCAAAACAAGCTTCATCATGGAGGGACGGGAGGCGAGTGAATCAGCGGTGCAGGAAAGGGCGAGGTGGAGCAGGCGCAGTGCTGTGGGTTGAGGCATGGCCAGGCGTGTATCAACCACTCTCAAGAGGTCTGTGCTTGCTCGTAGCTGTGGTGGTGGCTGCAGGTGCAAGGGGGGAAGGATGGGAGGCAGGGAGGGAGGGATGGGCGGCAGGGAGGGAAGGAGGAGTGAAAAGCAGGGAGGGAAAGAGGAGTGGAAAGCAGGGAGTGAGAGTGGATGATCATGTTTCACAGGCCTACGCATGAGAGCAATTGGAAGACTTGTGGGTTCTGGTGTGTGGAGGAGGTGGGAGCGACAAGTAAGGAATGTGGTATGCTTGTGGACGTGCATGTCGGTGTGAGTGCACAATTTCAGGAGTATGAGGGGGTGAGGACGAGGGGAAAGAGTGAAGGATGAGGAGAACCAGGAAGATACATGCAATCCAATGGCCTGGCATCTGGAAAGCATGCAATGCAATGGCCTGGCATCTGAAAAGCATGCAATCCAATGGCCTGGCATATGAAAATCGACAAAATGAGCGGCCACCTTTCAAAAGTCATAGCTCTGGAAGCAGAGAGAAAAGCAGGGGACTTTTGAGGCGCCTTGAAATGAGCGGCTATTTTTTGAAATCATAGTTCCGAAACAAGAGGGAAACGCAGAGGGAGTGGGGGCAAAGGAATTGGAGGCAGATGCAGTGCAGAGGCCGAGGCAGAGGCAGAGGGAGAGGCAGCAGCAGAAGCAGGAGAGGACGAGGCAGAAGCAGGAGAGGACGAGGCAGAAGCAGGAGAGGACGAGGCAGAAGTAGGAGAGGACGAGGCAGAAGCAGGAGAGGACGAGGCAGAAGTAGGAGAGGACGAGGAAGAGGACGAGAGAGAGGACGAGGGAGGAGTAGGAGAGGACGAGAGAGAAGCAGGAGAGGACGAGGAAGAAGTAGGAGAGGACGAGGGAGAAGTAGGAGAGGCAGAGGGAGAAGTGGGAGATGCAGCAGAGGGAGAGGCAGATGTAGGAGAGGCAATAGAGGCAGAGGAGTGGAGCGTACATCGATGGGAATATTGGTGGAGGGGTTGTCCTGATTCGCACCGTGCGCATCGGGGTGCAGCTGCTGGGAGACCTGCGTGGATGGATGGATGGATGGATGGATGGATGGATGGATGGATGGATGGATGGATGGATGGATGGATGGATGGATGGATGGATGGATGGATGGATGGATGGATGGATGCATTGCATGGATGGTTGGATGAATGGATGCATGGATGGATGCAGAGCGGTTGTGCATGGTCCAGAGGGATGGAGAAGGTTGAGTCCCAGTGGAACAGTGCATATAACGAGGGAGATTCCTTGGGGAGGAAAGCATGCAAGCCACTGAGAATGAGGGAGCTGAGCGACTTTTGAGAGGTCTCGAAAGCATGCGAGCCACTGAGAATGAGGGAGCTGAGCGACTTTTGAGAGGTCTCGAAAGCATGCGAGTCACTGAGAATGAGGGATCTGAGCGACTTTTGAGAGGTCTCGAAAGCATGCGAGCCACCGAGAATGAGGGAGCTGAGCGACTTTTGAGAGGTCTCGAAAGCATGCGAGCCACTGAGAATGAGGGAGCTGAGCGTGAAAGAGTGCACTAGTGTAAAAGCGCGTGAGGATAGGTGGTTGCGAAGGTTAAGAAGATTGAGTCTCCAGGGAACAGCGCATGGAGAGTGCCCGGTGAGGAAAGAAGTCAAGCAGCTGAGAATGAGGGAGCTGAGCGTGAAGTGTGCAGTGGAATGAAAGCAGTAAAAGAGGAGCAAGTGTGACCTGGACTGGAATAAAGTAGTAAATGAGGGAGAAAGGCGAGTAATAAGGGAGGCGGCAAGGCAACCCACCCAGTCTCGGAGGTGAACGGGGCGGTTGTTGACAGGAAAGACGGCCCTCCTGCTCGTGAGGAGCTCCAGAATCAGAACGCCAAAGCTGCGTGCATGCCATGTAAGCAAGGGCGTGGGAGGTGAAATGGGCGTGGACAGAGGCAACTTGTAAGACCTCTCAACAACCCAAGAGAAGGCCCTCTTGCTCGTGAGGAGCTCCAGAATCAGAACGCCAAAGCTGCGTGCATGCCATGTAAGCAAGGGCGTGGGAGGAGGCAGGGTCGTGGGAGGAGGCAAATTTCGAGGCATCTTAAAAGTCGAATCAGAATGGCAAAGCTGCATGCCGGGAAGAAGCAAGGCCATGGAAGAAAGGGTTTGGCAGGAGGCCATGCACACATTTCCTGCTCTGCTCTGCTCTGCTCTGCTCTGCTCTGCTCTGCTCTGCTCTGCTCTGCTCTGCTCTGCTCTGCTCTGCTGTGCTCTGCAGTGGTGGCTTTGCGAGTCTGAACTTGGATGATTTCTACCAAGCCTGGAGTGCCCATGCACTCCCATGCGGGACAATCCCCCACGTGCACAACCCTGGACCGCAATGGATTGTCCTGAGCCACACTATACTGCTCTGAACCGCCCAGTACCTGTACACATCGGATGCGGTGGTGGCCTTGCGAGTCTGAGCATAGATGGGGTCCACACAGCCCGGTGTGCCCATGACTCCCGCACGCACTCTCACAGGACAACACCCGGCTTGCACCGCACTGCACCACACTGCATTCCCTGCACTGCACCTGCACTGAACTGCACCGCTCTGTACCTGTACACATCGGATGCAGTGGTGGCCTTGCGAGTCTGAGCGTAGATGGGGTCCACATAGCCTGGTGTGCCCATGACCCGCGTTGACTTCACCGTGCTGCTCTCACTCATCCGCAGCAGCCCAAAGTCCGACAGTTTTGCCTGCAGATGTGCATGCAAGGTGAGGAAGACAGATGGGAGGCATAGACTTGCATGTATTCCTGTTGACTCGCGTTGACTTCACTGTGCTGCTCTCACTCATCCGCAGCAGCCCAAAGTCCGATAGCTTCGCCTGTCATGATGTGGAGGGAAGGACATGTGGGAGGAGTTGACTTTTGTGAGCTCCTGTTGACTTGCATTGACTTCACTTCACCGTGCTGTTCTCACGCATCCGCAACAGCCCAAAGCCTGACAGCTTCGCCTGTGATGATGTGGAGGGAAGGAAGGACATGTGGGAGGAGTTGACTTTTGTGAATTCTTGTTGATTCGCGTTGACTTGACTGTGCTGCTCTCACTCATCTGCAGCAGCCCAAGTCTGACAGCTTTGCCTGTTATGATGCATTAGTGAGTATTGTATGCAGTTTTTGAATTAGAGAGTATACTATGCAGCTTTTTCAGGCAGGAAAGTGCACTTTTCAAAAGTCGGCTGCGACTTCCATTGAACTCTGTTGACTCTGGTTTACATTTAATGACCGAATTAACTGCCACGTGCACACTGCAATCAACATAAGACAGCAAGACAGCGCCCACCTGCTGCTCTTATCCAGCAGGATGTTCCCCGGCTTGATGTCGCCATGCATGATGCCAAACCCGTGCAGGTAACTATTGAGTTCACTCTAGAAAGAGCCCATACGCATGCTGGCACAGCACAACGCAGCTCCCACCCACCTGCATGCTCTTATCCAGCAGGATATTCCCTGGCTTGATGTCGCGATGCACGATTTCAAACCCATGCAGGTATGCCAACCCTTGCGCCACTGACAGCAGCGTGTCAAGGAGATGAAGCGCTGTCAGGTGCTTGCCGCCTGGTGGGGTTGGGAAAGACGGTGAAATCAAAGAAAGAGGAAGTAGCTGGCTTGATGCCGCATTGCACGATTTCAAAAGCCGTGCAGGTACGCCAGGCTCTGTGCCATTAACAGCAGCCTATCAAGGAGCTGAACTGCCGTCAGGTGCTTGCCGTCAGGTGCTTGCCGCCTGGTGGTGGTGGGGAGGAGGAGGAAAGGAATCAGCTGTCTGTTGTGAGAGACGCCACAACCCATGCACGTACGCCAGCCCCGGTGCCACCGACAGCAGCTTGTCCAGCAGCTTGTCCAGCAGCTTGTCCAGCAGCTTGTCCAGCAGCTTGTCCAGCAGCAGCAGCTTGTCCAGCAGCTTGTCCCCCTGGTGGCAATTGGCAGGAGGAAGGGGAAGGGGAAGGACGGGTATATTACGATCTAATCTGCTCCACGCGCTGGGAGCATGGGTTGCTCTCACTCACTCCCTCCCCTCTTCCTTCACTCATGCCCTCCCTTTCCTCCCACTCAAGTAAATCTTCTCACCTGGTTTTATCCATGAACTCGTGTACCACGACCTGCTTCTTGCGCCGCGTGTGCGGGCTGTACTCACCTCTCCCTTCCTTTATTCCTCCGTACCCCCTTCATTCTCACCTGCTTTGGTCCACTGAGACAGGTCTCCATTATCCATGAACTCGTATATCACGATCTGCTCCATGCGCTGTGTGCGCGGGTTGCACTCACTCACTCACTCACTCACTCACTCCCCTGCCTCATCTGGTCTAGCCCACTCCACTGCGACAGGTCCCTCCCTCCCTGCCTCACCTGGTTTGGTCCACTGAGAAAGATCCCCATTATTCATGAACTCATATATCCCCATCTGCTCCATGCGCTGTGTGCGCGAGTTGTAGTCACTCCCTCCCTTCATCCGTACCTGGTTTAGTCCACTGAGAAAGATCTCCATTATCCATGAATTCATAGATCACGATCTGCTCCATGCGCTGCGTGCGCGGGTTGTAGTCGTGACAGAACCCCAGCAGCCGCACCAGGCATGGGTGGTTCTTACTTGCCATATGCTCGATCTGTGGGGGGGTAGGGGAGAGAGAGGGCAAGTGATTGACGATACAGGAAGCAGGGAGAGACAGGGTTAGTCATGACAGAACCCCAGCAGCCGCACCAGTCATGGGTGGTTCTTGCTGGCCATGTGCTCGATCTGCCAGGAGGGGGGAGGGAGAGGTATGGGTCAGCGAGGGAGAGCGAGGGAGAGTGAGGGAGTGTGAGAGTGGGGGAGTGTGGAGAGACAGGAAGACACGGGTGGTTCTTTCCCGCCACGTGCTCGATCTGTGAGGGGGAAAGGGGGGGTATGTGGGAAGATGCATGTCGATCTGCTCCATGCGCTGTGTGCGCGGGTTGTAGTCATGGCAGAACCCCAGCAGCCGCACCAGGCACAGGTGGTTCTTGCTGGCCATGTGCTCGATCTGTGGAGGGGGGAGAGGTAATGGACAATGAGGGAGAGTGAGGGAGTGTGAGAGTGAGGGAGTGTTAGAGAGAGGGAGATTCGTGGTAGGACCCCAGCAGCCGCACCT